AAGCATTGGATTATATTAAAAATTTAAAAGAGCAAGATTTTAAAGCTAAAGTTTGTTTGCGGGAGAAAGAGGGAAAGAAAAAAAGGAAATATTTGTTTTTTTTTCTGTGAATTTTAGTCAACAAATTCAATATTTGAATTATTGTCCACATTACGTAAAATATGTTCAGCTGTATGGCTTAATCGTATTGAACAAATCGAACAATTACATCTTAATTTATTACTTAAAATGATTGCATTATCGAATTTTAATGCTAAAATGAATTCATTGAAAGAAGTAAATTAAACAAAAAACAAAAAGAAGGAGAATAATTAATAAAACAAAAAAAAAACTATATACATTTATTTTAGCTAGCAAAAATAATTGAAAATGCAACATCGAATATTCCAAGTTTGATTAAAACATCTATTCGACGTGATGTTATTAGTGAATGGATTATTGAAAATTCTATACTTTCTAAAGCACTTGAAGGTAAAATAAAAATCAAATATCTATATTTAGTTTTTTTTTTCTTCACTTTCTCCAATTTAAATATCAAAAGGAAATATTGATCAAAATCAATATGTTGAAAAAGTTCGAACATTAATGGATTTTATTGCACCAAAAATTTTAAAAGAAGATATTCAAACTATATGGAAAATGCAGGTATTTAAAAAACAAGCAGTATTGATATATATTGACTCCAAACTTATAGTTAGTTATTATGAATATTTTATTTCTGCCTTCTCAAGTATTTCATTCTCATGTCAATGATTATTTTGCCTGTGGATACAGCAAAATATTGTAGGAAAAACTCGAAAAGGATTTGGTTTCTTATTGAAATCTGCTAGAAATCTCTTAGAAATAAATTCATTAAAAATTCGATAACTTCGATAAATCTCAATAGGAACGCCAATTCTTTTTTGAATTTTCACTAGAACATTATGAAGTATCTATAAGCAAAAAAAAATCAATGAAGTCAGAAGAAGACATCAATGTAGATGTATTCGTAAGCACTGACGTTTATCTGAAGAATAGATTGATTGAAGTCTACTTGTCTTTCATAACAAGTGTTTTTGTTTTTCAAAATTTCTTTATTGTTTTAATATCTATTTCCTTTTGAATTAATATCAATATCAATGGGTTTTTTATTCTAATCCAATAATTAATTCCATTTTTTACTTATAATCTTAGCTCGCGTAGTGATGCCATTAGTTTTTTTACATGCACAATAGTGGATTAATAGATCAAACGTGCTTAGCCTTAATGCACATGAGATTGGTGATAGACAGTAAAATGAGGCCACAAAGTATTGCACATGTGTTCAAATTACAGAGATTACAATAGCGAAACGAACTGCAAAAAAGTGTTTACTGTTAAGAATAAGAAAGTGTTTATACGAGGCTGAGCTATTTCCAACAAAACTCTCTCTCTGACAGATTCGAAATTCTTTCATAAATTGGATATGTACATTGATAGAGGTTTTACTGTATGTTTTGTTTATGCTGTATGGATGAATGTTTATATGAACATGAATATTATATTGATATATTTAGTAGATTGTATTAAAATTGTGGTTCGGTTTTTCTTTTTCTAAAATTGATCATGATTAAAATCGAACTTAAAAGGAATTAAAAGTGAGATCAATTAGATTACTTGTAGTTTTGTTAACATAAACATTTCTTCTTGAAATTTGAAGACAATTAAAATTAAGTAAATAATGAAATAACAAGATATTCTAATTCGATATAGTTGCTCTGTGGAATAAAAACATGAACTTCAAAAGAAATATCAATAATTTCTTTTAGAGAAAAATAAAATCAATTGTTTTTTTTTTTTGTATTTTAGCATGGACGTTCATTAGTTGCTGTTGATCATTTGTTTACTTTAATAGCATCAGCAGCTGCAAAATTTAATTTACAACAACTTAACTATCTTATTGAATTTATTTGTAATGTAAGTTAAATTTCTCAGCATCTTTTTTTTGTTGTTTTATATGAATATAAATTTCGTTTTTTTTTTTTCTCTGATTCATTATTAAAAGTCTTGGAAAATCGAAACAATTCTTATACAAGAAAAACTTGTTGAATTACTTGGCACTATTGGACGAGAATGTCAAAAAGATTCTGCTGTTCGTGTTTTAGACATTCTTTGGGATATGGCACATTCAGACCGTCTTGGTCGATCAATGCTTGATCATATACTTCATTATCATTTACGTATATTTAGTGAAGGTCGTTCACCATATGATGCACTTAAACGTGATTATTGTCTTAAATGTATGTCAGATTTACAACGTAAACAAGGTTGGCTTTTACCAGCTATAAAACATTTATATGATTTATTACATCATGATTCAACAAATACATTTAAACGTACTGATGAAGATCTTATATCATTATTAGTTCATAAACATGATTTAATATCAGCATTAATACAAAGTTTATCAACATGTCAATTAGATGTTTGGAATAAAACACATGGACATGTTACAATTGATACATTAGTTGATGGTCGTTATACACATGAAGAATCAATTAAGAATCATTTAGATTTATTATCATTTTTATTAAAAAAAGGGAATCTTTATTTAATATTAAAACGTAGTGAAGAATTATGGGATACATTAATAACAAATGAACATGTTAGTTTATTTGATCATGAACTTGGTTTAAATTGGTTTATAACATGTTCAGAAGATCTTAATCGAGAATCTCAAATAGCCTTATTTGAAAAACGTGTATCAAAATTAAATCCAATATATTTAACATCTAAAGGTAAAAAAAATATTCCAATTTATTAAATTATAATAAAAGTTAAGAAAAAAATAACATTTTAGGTTATACATGTTTTAAGTTATATTTTGAACGATGTAATTCAGAACGATCCAATCAATCAAGAAATTTTACTTTTAATTCAAATTCATCTACATCAGCTTATGTAAGTTAATAGAAGTTGACCTAGAGCACGGAAGTCATGGCACAAAATATTCACTCATTTTTTCAGATCACTGAAAGACAATTGGTTAGAATCAAATTTTTTTTTGCTATTTCCGAATGTATGCTCAAATTTTCTTTCTGGGATAAGATTGAATAACTATCAATGAGTTTCGTGAAAAAATTTCAAATTTTGTTTGTACAAAGTAAACTTGTACCTATGATACAGTCCTTAATTTGTATCTTGGAATCTTTACCACTTAACATTGTTGTAGAGCACTGAGTTTAGTACAAAATGAGCTATTATAATAAGCGAAATCTCATCTGAACGTTTTTATCTAAGAGTTAGTTTCTATGGAAATTGAGATCGGTAAAAAAGAAAATCGATTTTTGAAAAATAACTCTGCCATTCAAGATAAAACAGAAAAGTAAATAGGACATTTGGTAGAACAAGGTTTGCTCTACAAACCTGAACCACACATAACACTAATATGTATTGCATATGCCGCACTTTGTAACACAATTTACGAGACATCAAGAAGTTCGTTATAACACATTTTGAAAACGTGCTTTGAATCTAGTCTTCAGCGCATTTTTTATTTTTTCTGTAAAAGCGAATCATTACTATTATTTTAATTTAATTCGAATTAGTNACACGTCATTTTTTAAATCGAGAAAAAGAGAACGTTTTAACACTAGAAATTTAAGTTTTCCACCGTTTTCACGCTTGAAAAGTGACTATTTTGTACAAAAAACGTCGTTTCTTGCGTTTTTTTAATGAGCGTGAATGGATCACAGTCGCGGTTCCCGATTGTGCGTTTAAACGCGTTTTTTGAAAGTTTTGTCTGCCTGGGTAATTCGTTTTAAAAGGATTTCGTCTTAAACACGGTCGGGGAAAAAGATATCCCAACTTCTCCTCTGTCAATTGGTGAAACTGCAGGTCGCTAACTATTACCATCATCGAGATATTGCGTTTACACCCATCCCTCTTTCATTCTGGCGCAGACATTAGTAGAGAAAAAAAATTTGGATATTTTGCGAAAATAATAAATATATCACGCGAAATATTTGTTTTTAAATAAAGGAATTTTTTTCGTAAAATATCTTTATTTAAAAAAACTGTTCTTGCTTCACAAAAAAGTGCTCAAGTAATTTACACAAAAATATGATTTAATTAATACAAATTTTTGAATTTCTCATGATGTTTAGTATTATTCTTTTTTTCTTCCATTGTAGAAAGATGGATGAAAATTCGTTTAACAACAACAATATATTTCAATGGGAAATGTTTGTATACAAATGCTTGAACAATGATCCACCATTACCAATAATACATAACAAAGATGCAATAATTGGCCCAATATCAGCAAATTTGCAAGATATTACTCTTGGATATAAACCAATTAAAAAAAAAGGAAGACGAATACCAATTCAAACAGCAATTATCTCTATGAAATTGGCTTACCTTCTGCTCGATGGATTAAAAGGTGTAATTATCTGGGGTAAAAAAAAGTAACTTTCTTTTTGCACAATTTTTTCGTGTGCTTTTTTGTTGTTTTTTCCTGTAGTTGTTTTTCATTTTTGATTCGTACTGTTTTGTTCTCTTTTTTTGTTGTATCTGAAGGTTTCATTTTGAACAAATAAAGCATGAAAAGAAACACAAAGTAATTTTTTTACTTCATTGCAATAAAAAAAACTAATTGAAAGAAAAAGAGAAAACATTGTCTAAAGTGAGACAAATAATCGATCTCTTGTTCGTGTTGTTTCTTGTGTTCGAAATGAATATTATCAAAATAGCAAACAGAAATCGATCATCAAAATTTTTCCATTAAGACTCAATTCGTTTGCAAATAATGGACAAAGATATCATATTATGAATTGCTTCTTTTTGAGGTGTCATAATAAGTCAAAAAAAAATTATTACGGCTTTTTGCTCGGACTTAAATTCTCCGTAATGAGAATGCCGTTCTAGGTTACGAAGTTTTGTTTTTATTTCGTCTTCGATTATAATTGTCTAATTGAGTCGTATAGATAACACCTTATTGTACTGCTGTTGCCACAAAATAAGCACGTTTCGATGTAAAAAAATTGTCTTCAATGATCACCAGTAATAGGTTAAAAATCAATTATAATCATACGATTTTAATCAAAAATTTCAGCAAAAGTAATTACAAAACCATCATTCCTATATCGATTATTCAAGGAATTCAGACTAATCGATTTCTAGGGTGTGGGTGTGGGTGCGGGTGTCCTTCTTCTCTTTCCACATGCAAAATCACGCATAACTAGCTTTGTTTATGTTCACTCCATACGCATGCGTAGTTGTTGAAAAGAGCTTTCAAATGATATCAAATTGTTGGTGTTTTATTTTGGTCGAGGTAGCATCGTCAAGTTTATCTTCGATACTTCTATGGGTTTTGTATGTAATCGGTAGAACTAGGAACACAAACTATATGAAGCGGCAGAATCAAGAACAGGAGAAAATTCTGCGGGCGACTTTCTAACTTGTGAAACATATAGATAGCCCACGTCGAAACGAATTGAAGGATACGTTTTTTATTTTTATATTGGATTGGCTTAAAAAGTGATGTTTTTTCTAAAATTTACTGCAGTTTTCCATGTAATCAGCAGAATTAGGAACACATAAGAAAATACAGCAATACTTTACCTTCTTTCTGTTGTCGTGCTTTTCCTAAGTGATTAATTAATTATTATCTAATGTATCTTACATCATTCGATAGAGAAATGTTTGCTCTATCCGAGAAAGAAAAACTTATTTCTGTACGATATATATAGGTTGAAATATAAAAAGAATTTTAAAAGAATTTTTTCCGACAGAATTAGGATACGTGATTCTAACAATAATTAACACAGCATTCCTGCTGAACTGATATAAATTACTTTGTGATAAATGTGAAAACATTTCTTTGACCTCTAGACCCCTGCAGAGTAGTGCGGATATATGGTTGCAGAAAGGAGGTTTGCTATTTTAATTATTTCTTTTTCAAAATTTTGCTTTAAGTACTCAGGCTGTATTTATGCGTGAATTCTAAAACAATCTCTAAATATTTAATATTCACTTCAAAAGTGAAGTTTTTCATATTCTTGCACCCACTTCAGAAGTCTGGAGCCAAAAAAAAATTTTCTTGCCCATAAAGAAGTTATATATATGAGTTCATCAGAAATATTATGCTGATTACTGGTACATAAAAGTACTTAACAGAACCATTTAATATTCTTAAAATATCGTCAATATACAGGCTCTTTCATATACGAAAATGAGCTTTTCTCCGGGACTACTTTGGAGACTGACGATGAGTTCTTGCTATTCCGGAAAATGTTATGTAAGAAATATATAGACCTCGATAGTGTGAAATTTTAGAGAAAGTTTTAAGACGATACTTGTTCTGTGGCACAGAGTTGAACACACTAGAATATCATATAGCCAAGAAATCGCCTAGATCTAATAAAAGGACTATTTTAAAGTACGAAGACAGTAACGATGAAAGCTATTGATAATAGACAATTGAAGAGCACGTATAACTGTATCGAATTGAATTTAGAACTAAAATTTACATAAGTTTATCTTACAATACCTTATGAACCATCACTTCTATGAATACCATGTGCATTTCTCAAGGATTATAACTAGTATATGGACTTTCAGCACAATGAAATTTGAGGAAAGTGTGATTTCTTATATGCCGCTCAATACATCGCAAATCGCTCTACAAAACCATGGAGATGGTATTCTGGTTCAAGATAGGTCGCAGAGTGTGGCAAGGTCTTTTGTGATAAAGAGATATAGAGTTGATGAATATAGTTATGTAAATTTTCATTTAATTAGACAAAATAGTTAAGTTCGCAAGTTTCCTAAATCGAAACATCTTTCTATTCAACAGATGTTTAATTTGCAGGTGTTCTCAATTGAAAAGTACTTAATTTCAGGACATGGTAGATTTTGTCAGTGTATTCAATTGAAACCTTGTTAAGATAAGGAAATTGTTGAGTTCGCAATTTTTCTCGAATGAAATATATTTATGTGTAGAAAGTTGTCAAGTTTGTGATTGCATACGATTGAAAAACCAATTGATTTTAGGAGGTTCTGACCAAAGAAAAACGAATAACCTTTAAACATTGTATTATTAGTATAGAGCAGAGCACTGTCTTTGCATTGCTTATTTCTAATAAAGGGAAATTCTCGTTTTCATGTTTCGCCTGTTGAGATTGAATATCAATAGGGTAATTTAGCTGATAGGAAGACAACTGTTGGAGAAAAAAATATTGTGTCTATGGAGTTTTATAAAATTTTTAAAGCACCCAACTTAAGGTTGTGTGTACTTGAGTATTACTTTGTAATGTCATTATAGTCTTTGATTATAACTGGACTCATAAATGATATATAAAGTATAAATGAATTATATCGTGAAGCTTTGCTAAGTTAAATTCCAATCAAAAGAGCAAAGAACCGAAGAATCATTAAGCTTATTTACTTTTTGTAGCAGCATCATAACTGTGTTGTTCGAAATTCATTTTTCAGTAAATTATAATATTGACTTGCTTATCCATAAAAATGTTTTTGAGCACCACTTCCTGATATCAACATACAGATCATTGTTGTATATATATAATATATATAAGTTTGACATAGTAAATATGAATGATTTTCTTAGGCAATTAAAAAAAAGAAGTGCATATTACGTCTTTTTAATAAGAGGAAAAAGCAGAATTTATTTAAAATATTAAAAAAATATTTCATTTTTTTATGCATGACTCAAAGTGAAGTTTAACTCAAGGATATAGGTACATGTCATCTAGCTACAAAACAACATTTATGATTTTAAATGATAAGTATATATAACTGTAATACTCGGTCATACATTCATAAAATTTTTCAGTTGTTATTTATTTAGATCTCATACAAATACTTTTAAAGACATCAAGTAATGTTTGACGAAATATCTTTCCACCACATAATGTGTAAATATAAAATGGCATTCCACTTGAGAAATAAGTTAAAAGAAGTAATATATTAAAACCTAGATTTTCAATGGCATTTTGTAAAGAAGATTTTATTTGACTTTCAGTCATGGTTGAATAGATTTTTTGTATTGCTTGTGGAAGTGTAAAAAAACAATAAAGAACTGTTTGCACAAGAAGCATAACTAGTAAATAAGAATCCGTCTTTCTCCATCGTTCTGATTGATTTGGACCATTATGTGAGAATTGTGTTGCTGTTATTGTAAACACACGACGACGTGAATTTTGCACGTTCGATATTGTCAATAGACCAAATGTAATCATAACAATTATTGGTATTACAACAGTGATAAGTGCATATGAGAAATCAGTTGTCATACGACATATTTCTGTTTTTCCATAACATTTCAATGGTGTTTGAGTTAAATTTGCTTGATAACAATAAATTAATTGAACATATAATAGAATTGAAAATAATATGATAATAAATATACTTCTATATGAATTCTTTAATGAACTCATTTTTCGATATTGTTGATTAGCTGATGATAAAAGACATCGATCAACACTTGCTAATGCTATTAACCACAAAGCAATAGTTCTTGAAACCATTAAAACAAATACACGAAGTTTACAAAGCCAATCGATTGTATTTGTTAAATCAACAGCATAGCCTGCTAACATTCGTGTTGTTAAACCAGATAAAATAGAAGTAAGATTTGCCATTGATGATATAAGAAAGAAAAATGAACATGGATTTTTTCGAAGTGGTCGTTGAGATAAAACAATACAATTAAGAATATTACCAAGAACACCAAAAATAAAAATAAATACTGAACAATAACGATTTAACTGTGTTGACATATTGTTTAGTGATAAAATCAGGTTTGTTGTATTAGTTGGCATGTCTTGTTCTAGTCGGTTTTCTTGAAATCTATGAATAACCTGAATGTTCTTCTTTCCTCTGCTATTTAAATAAAATGGAGAGAAAAAAACATTTCATTGTACTCAAATAATATAAGTAATTTATGCTTCAAAGTACTGATAAGCTCATTTACGATGTCATGAATCTCAAACAGACAGACGAAAGAAAAATAGCTAACAATTTTCCGCAGTATGTTATAGAAAATTATGACAACTATTGAAACATTGAACAAGTATAATATACAACTCCATGTCATCCTTCATTTCCTCTAAAGATTTAGATGAATGAGATACAAACTATATAATGATCAATAGTTAACTGCTTTTCTAAAACAATCTTTCTAATAAATAATATAATTTGCATGTTAGAAATAATAGCAGGAGTCGTAGATTTCATGTGTTCGATTTTTAAAAGATATTCTTCATGGAACTATGTCCTCAGTTTTATTTGAAGTTTACAAATATGGTTTCTAAAAGTCTTGAATCGATTGACGATTATTAGCATGTAGTTAGAATGTGATAGTCATAATTTCATATATTAATCTTTCGATTAATTTTTTCTTTTTAATGATAGTATGTAATAAGTATAACAGAAGACTTGAATCAGACTCATTGCTGCTGATTTTATCCATAAAATCAAAAGAAAAGTATTCACTGTACTGATATTTGACAAAAAGACTAGACTTCCATATATTAAAAGCATATCAGTTGAACAATATACTTCATATCTTCAATAAAATTATCTGAGCAAACATTAGACCGTTATATTCTACTGCTAACGACTAAATTAACTTTTCCTTAAAAAGACATGTGTATTCAATTTATACATATTCCTTGATAACGTATTGGTTTAGACAAACATGTCTTATATAGTTATATCATGCTCTCGAATAATTGTGAGTTTCAAATGGTTGAACAGTAAATTAGATACGTGAAGCATAAAATGGATAAAAATAAAAATAAAAATGTGTTGACTATTATTTTAACGATATATTTTTTTCTTTGATCAATGATACAAAAAATTCAAGTACATTAAAGGACTGTTAACAATGTCTGAGGGAATCGATCCATGGAAATTTTGATGAACTGTTCATACATGAACGAAGAAAATGATGGTGCTAACTATTTTCAATATTCAGTTTTTTTTCATTTGTAAATGATTTTTAATAGGTATTTACAAGTCTAGGATTCCGCATTGACATGTTCAGTTTTCGGAGTATAGGAGCGACTTGTGACTTTTTCGTACAATTGGCATGAAAAACTGGAAGTAGGTCTAACCAATATCTGAATAGTATATTTTACTACACTTTATGCCTTCGTTAAGCGGCAAAATTTTCCCAATACTTCACTGAATATTAAAAGAATTTCATGCTGTGCAGTTTAATTTCTATTTAATTCAGTCATACAATCGATTTAACTCATTGAGAAGGTTTAAGTCGTTTTTAGCGCTGTATGGAGAACAGAAAGTCAGAAAAGAAATCGTCACTCTACAGTTTGTAGTATAATTTAAATCTCTCCTGGGTAGTACAAGATCAAGAGCTGACATTTTTGTCACTAATACATTTTTCCTGTTTTACATCTACGGTGAAAATTTGCGCCAAATCAAATATCTTGTTGAAGATTTATAAACTAGATGATTTTTCAAATCGTCACTCTACAAAGTGATTACCATGGTCTTTTTTCACCAAGTCCTATTATTGTTTTTCTGAAACAAGTCTAATAAGAGAAAACTGTTTCTTATAAACTTGATGTGGAAAAAGTTATTTTTGTTTTCATCTAGTCTGCGCATGGCCAGCTTTGTTTGGTGCAAAGCTAAAATCAAGTTTATGTCCTTCTGCACAAAAACATACAGGCGTCTTTCAAACAACGTGGGTGTCAGACGAAGAAACCGAGAAGAAATTAAATTTATATCTCTTTTATATTTTAATAGAGCGTCGAACGCTGTACAAAGTAGACTAATATTGCATGCGTTTCATCTTGCTTTTTCATAAGCGACAAATTTCCTTTTCTTTGCCCATGTTAGCAAAAATGACGTTTTTTTTTTGTTTTATATTTCTCATAGCTCAACGACAGTATGAGCTACAGAACTGTAATTTTATGTGGCACTGGAGTGTTCAAAGAGGAATAATATATTTAAAAAATGTCTAAATCAGTTGAAAGAAACAGAGGTTATTGGCTAAATACAGCTAAAATCTCAATCGTACCGAAAAGTAGTAATTTACTCATATACAGAGCAATCGTTGCTTGACAAATATTGCACATGCTTTTGGATATATGCACTTGCTACTTATGGCAAACCCAAAGAAATTCTGTACTGATAGACAGATCGTGAAAAGTACCTCAAAACTCTGTATAAAAACTATTTATCAGCAAAATACAAGAAACAATTTCTTTTTCCCAGAGAAATGTAAAATACTTTCAATTTACCATGGCAATGACAAAAAAAATGCTTTATGAAACGAATCAATTTACTACCTCTGAGTTTTATATCATTTAATAAAAGAAAATTTCAGTAGTGTTCGTATCATGTAAGTTTTGCATAAAAATAAAGATGCGATTATGTGCAGAGTATATATGATCTTGTGCAGGTAGATTATCAAAGCAGTTTTGACTAGTCTTCACTAATTCGGTTGCAATAGTTGTCTTTCGAGGAGAAAAGAAATGTCATATTCGCAATAATCATAGAATACAATGTCGATCCATGAACGATTTAACATTTTCTGACAGCTTTTTTTATCGATCAAAATTGTAGCCTGGCCTATATCCAGGTTTCCTCGAAAAAGAAGCCGAAAAAAAGAGAATGTGAGAGAATTTTGAAACATGCATATAGATAGATTTTTTTTTCATAGTTTCGAATGTGATATTTGTTGTGACTTGAAAAATGACTATTGCAATCAAATTATTGAATACTAGCCAAAAATATTTTCATAATCTATCTGAACAAAACTATCTATATTCTGAATATGATCGCATCTTTATGTTTAAAGAAACTTTAAATGATGTTACAGTCAATGAAAATTTTTTATTAAATAGTGTAATACTGTACTTCAATGCTTGGAACAGTTTATAGTTAATGGTGACATGACAAATTCAAGATTCTCAAAGATTTCTTGAAGAAAGACATTGCGTCTTGTGTATCTTTGATAAATGGTTTTAACATACCAAGAAACATATACAACATTTGTCAATCAACGACTGCTCCGTATATACGTCGAAAATTGAGCATGTCACCATGAAATCCTAGACTTGTAAACTCCTATTAAAAATCATTTAGAAATGAAAAAATGAATATTAGCTATAGTTTCTATCATTAGTTTCTTCGTTTCCGTACTAACAGTTTATCAAAATTCAGTTGGGCTTATTTCCTCGGATATTCATTCTCGTCCTTTCTCTTATAATAAAGCTAACGCTATTCTGCATAGTCATTATTGTTGTATGAGTTGAATCAGTAGTTGTTTAATAATTAATTGGTGAATCTAAAACAAATATAATTTTTAACTGAAATGAATATTGATTACGTTCATAAAATGACGCGATCTTTTATTTAGATGACTTTTAAGATCTCATCAAATCAATATTTAATGAAACATTCTTTGTTCAAAAAGTGTGACTCATTTTAATTGATGACTGGCTTCAAAATTTCTCGATGAAGTCTTTTAAAACAAATAGAATCATCAAGAATGTCACCAAAGATTATTGTCATTATACGTACTACTCTATTATACTAGAATTAATTTCTTGTAAATAACTCATGAGTACATGTTCAGGATTCTTTTTTTTTTAAACAAGTCAATCATACTAAAGAAAATTGTGTTATCACTTTGGTTTTCCATCATGTTTTTTGTTGTCACAATAATATAATGAAATGAGAAGATGAGATCATCTATAAAGTTGAAGTTCTTTTTGTTTTTGAATACTAAAATAGAAAGGAATTATGAACCAATAAATCAAAAGTAATAATTGTTATTTTTCCATATTCTAATTGTTAAAGAAACAAATATCTAGTTAAAATTGAGTAGATCAGCTGTTGAAATGCCTTCCATTGACATTAATAAACATTAGTACATTGGTTAGCATTTCTGTTAACATTTTGAATATGAATGATTCTCACTGGATTTAATGTGATCTCGATGAAATGTCATAATTTATTATATATTTCACTTGTTACAAAGTTCAACAAGACAAGAAAAAATGACTTCGCTGAATAGATTATTGAAATAATGATATTTTGGATATATTTGAATATTCTTTTAAAAGTTATTATGTTGACATAGGTTTACAATAATGATCATTTCAAATAAAATGAAAACAACAAATGTCATAATGTTTATTAAAAGCGTTATTATTACAACACAGTCATTAAATTAGATAGAACAATGAATGAATTTAGTATTTGATTCAAAATACAATAGAAGAAATGAGTATTTCTTTGTTAGAAATTTGAACGTAAGAACTCAGAAAACTATATAGTTAATTTACTTTTTCTTATTGCATGAAAGGAATGTCGAATAATATTTACAAATCTATCCATATCGATATGCGAAAGTACTAAGCGATATTAAAAAAACTACAACAATAGCATATTGAACATATGTGACAGTGAATTTTTATTTTCGTGTCATCTTGATTTCTTAATAAGTTAATATTAATTGTGTCGTCCAATAGTCGTTCGTGTCTGAAGAAGTAATTGGGTTACGATTATCCAATATTATAATAAAACAAACAAACACATAATGTTAACTTCATTCATTTGTAGTTTCACAACAAATAGTCGCTCCAAGGTGATTTTATACTGATCGTAATAAACGATTAGAAAAGTAATAAAAAACCCGGAGGAAAGACTAAATCGAAAACAGATGACTGTTGAATTTGTCGAGTGATTGGAAAGAAACCACATAAGATTTATTGGATGCACTGTATAATAGATGAAAATTTCTCAGTAACATGTTTATTTATTTTTTGTTTTTCTACAGTTATAAATC